CGGATCTCAGTGTCCGGGCAGAACGATGGGGGTGGAGACGCTCCTTCAGGTATACTGGACCGAGGCCGTTTAGGGCTTTAAAGGTCAGCACCAACACTTTGAATCGTGCTCAGAAACGTACTGGGAGCCAATGCAGATCTCTCAGAACCGGGCTCGTTTCAGCAGGAACACGGGAAGCTGCCTTATGCTGGGCCTATTCATTGGTCCACCTTGCTGGGTATTTTCTACAGCAGCTCTCCAGGCAAGAAATCTCTCCCAGCCCTAGCCGGAGACGCTGCTGGAGCTGACCTTCTGCATGGGCTCTGCCACAGGCCTCTTGGCCCTCCTTGCCTTGCCCACATCTCCTACCCTCGTCCCCGCAGCACAGCGCACACACCTCTGGGCACTGCCTATCGCAAGCAGCCTGGCCGAGCTGTGGCCACTGGGCAGCTCCTTGGTTCCCAGGATTCCCCTGCCCGCCCCCAAGGTTCACACGGCTGGAATCTCCACACACCCGGCGGCCGTGACTCATGCTCCTTGATGCAAGCCTCCTTTGCGGTGACACGGCCACGCTGTTTCCATCCACTGCCCCCCCCACCAGACGCAGAAGCCGCTCCAGGCTAGGAGGCCTCCAGCATTTGCCTAAGAACATCCGAAAAGAGCTGGCCGCAGCTGGATCAGGCCAAAAGGGGCCCGTCCTGTCCTCACAGCGGCCAACCAGATGCCCCCAAGGAGGAGCAGGACCTGAACACAACAGAAGCAACTTTCTCCCTGCATGCAATTCCCAGCAAAGGCAAGGATTAGGCAATTTCGTGGAGGACACGACTATCAGTGGCTACTAGGCCCAAGTGCCTACGTTCTGCGTCCACCATCAGAGGCTCCGAATAATACCACTTGCTGGGAACCACGAGCGGGGAGAGTGCCATTGCTTATTCATTACTACGTTATTATCCTCCAAGAACCTCAAAGTAGCAACATAGTTCTGTTCCCTGCCCACCTCTCCATGTTATCTTCACTACAACCCTGCGGGGGGTGTGCCTGACTCAGTTTAGTCTGTTTGCACATGCGACATTGAGGATAATGGTTGAAAACCAGCCCTGAAACTTCATACACAAACAGCCTCCTCTCTGCCCCCCCCCAAGCCTCTGCTGTGTCAAGAACCAGTGTGGTCTAGTGGTTAAGAGCGGTAGTCTCGTAATCTGGTGAACCGGGTTCGCGTCTCCGCTCCTCCACATGCAGCTGCTGGGTGACCTTGGGCTAGTCACACTTCTCTGAAGTCTCTCAGCCCCACTCACCTCACAGAGTGTTTGTTGTGGGGGAGGAAGGGAAAGGAGAATGTTAGCCGCTTTGAGACTCCTTAAAGGGAGTGAAAGGCGGGATATCAAATCCAATCCAAGAACAGAACCGCCTTCCCTTCAACCCCCCCCCCCAAACTAACAGGGACACACAGACATGCTCCTTTTCATTCAGCCCAACTGGATCTCTGTTCAGGACACAAATAGCTTAGAAGAACCTGACAGAAGCCAATGGGAAGGGGGGCTTGAGAAAGAAACACTCCCCACAGCCCCCACTAATACAAGACGCCTTCCCTTCAATATGACACCAATAGATCTTTTATTACTCTGTGTCTGGTGAGCATCCTATTCAGGCAGGTGCTAATATTTCTCCCTCCACTCTCATTATCCGCCTCTCCCAATTGGAGAGGAACTCAACAGTTGTCTTAGCAACTGTTGCTAGAGCAACCGTGGGATAAAGATGATATGGGGCAGTGTGTGTGTGTGTGTGTGCACGCCGCCAGAGGAGTGGGGAGAAAGGGGCTGGGAAAGGAGGCAGAAGGCAGTCCTGGGAGCAGGGCAGGCTTGCTCCAATTGTTTAGATGTATCTGCTTCAACTGATTCATAGGGAGGGAGAATTTCCGCTGTTGCCCCTTCTCCAGTCAGGGCAGCGCAGCAGAGGGAAAAGATGCCACTTTCATCCCAATGGTTTTTGGCCCAGACCCAAGGGGCTGCTCAGTTAAGAAGAGCCTGATGGATCAAGCCAGTGACCCATCTAGTCCAATAACCTGTTCTCACAGGGGCCAGGCAGATGACCCAAATGGAAGACCACAAGCTGGTAGCTTTTGATATTCCCCTCCTCCTCCGTGAATCTGTCTAATCCTCTTTTAAAGCCACCTGAGTTGGTGAGCATCACTGCCTCCTGTGGGAGAGAGTTTAACTATGTGCTTGCATGAATAAAGCCTTTATTTTATCTGTCCTGAGTAGTCTCATGCAGCCCTGCTTGGGAGGGTATGGGACTTGCATGTCTCAAACAGCAGACTCCCTCCTCATGCTGCTTGGGCACCTCACTGAAAAAACAGCTGGGAGATTTGAGACATATGCAAATAAGGACTTTGTCATGCAGCCAGAAATTAAACTGTGGAACTCACTGCTGCAAGAGGCAGGGATGGCTTTGAAAGAGGATTGGATAATTCAAGGAGAAGGGATGCTGGACTAGGTGGGCCCCCTTGGGCCTGATCCAGCAGACAGGTACTAATTAAATTCTTATGAGTTTTAATCTGATTTTAGTCTATTGCTATTTTAACTTGTTGAAAGTCTGAAATTATTGTAGTGAATTTTCTTATGGGTAATTTTATTGCTTTATCTTTTTTGTAAACCGCTTCAGGATTTTGTTTCTTTTTACCATCAACTGGTTATAAACGTTATGAAACAAACAAACAAATAAATAAAATTGTGTTTGCAAGATATGGTACCAGGGTCCCAGCATTCAAATGTAGATGAAGAAAACTCACACTGAAGCTTTGCACAGGTCTTTGGATCCAGGTTTCCGCCACACCCCTCCCCAAAACTATCCTGTGGCAATTTTAGCTTCTATTGCACCTCAGAAAAAAACCTCAGAAAAATAAACCAAAACCCAAAAGCAGACAACACATTGCTATGAGAACACTCAGACACCCAGCAAAACAGTCGGTCTGCTCACAGACTCTGATGGTGCCTCAGCCTGTGCCAGTTTTTAAAAATAGTGGCAACTCTACATGATTCTGGAATCATCACCGAAGAACAAATCATCTCCCTTTTTGAAGGATGGGCCATTTGAGACACATCTTTGAAAAGCCAGCAGGGTATTTCTCTCCCTGGGTCAGAGGACAGCCGAGTAAATGGAGAACTAGGTCAACCATACAACAGCAGAGATGTGAGTCACTCAGAAACTTAGTCTCCCTAAAAACTGCAGGCGGTGTCCGCCAAAATATGGAAAGAGTGAGTTACCTTTGCAGATGAAACTCACTGAAACTGAACAGAGAGTCCACAAAGTAAGTTGTACCTTTGCCAGCTTGGGGCCTCCAGATCTTTTAAAGTCCAGCTGCCATCAGCTGCAGCTGCCACGGCCGTGTTTTCGACTACAATTCCCACCAGCTCCATCCATGTTTTGGAATCCATCTTCCATCAGCCCCAGCTAGTCCTGCACATCTAGAAGGCATCTGCCCAGCAAAGGCTGTACTAGGGAGAGACCATCACACAGGCCTAGGAGAAGGGAGCTCTCCCTGCATAAATGTGCCACAGGTTTTTTTATCTGATGCAAAGCCACCCTGAAGGGCGTTAAGACTCCAAAGGACCACATTTCTGGAACTAGACGTATTCCACTTTGATGCCAAGATTTGACCCTCTGCAAGCCAAGTACAATTTGCGCCCCTTGTCGGAGACCAGATACGCTCCAGAACGTGCTTGCGAACATACAGATGGGCTGGAGACAAGAAGCAGGAAGCCAGACAAAGCCGCAGCATGCCAGAGAGGAAAGAGGAAAAAGCAAGCCCACCCACGGAGAGCCTGGCAGAGTGGCACAAAGGAAGTGGTGCCGCCTGCAGCTTGACACCCGGGGAGACAGGTTGAACTGCATCGCTTTGGCATCCTAGCAAGTGGAGGAGCAAAGGGCCTCTTGATCAATGCCCCCAAACAAGACATGTGATCCCTGGAGCAAGGATTGCCAATAATGGCCTGAAGGGCACTCACTTTTAAAAAGGAAGGCAAGGTAGTAGTTGTAAAGGTAAAGGGACCCCTGACCGTTAGGTCCAGTCGTGGCCGACTCTGGGGTTGCGGTGCTCATCTCGCTTTATTGGTCGAGGGAGCCGGCGTACAGCTTCCAGGTCATGTGGCCAGCATGACTAAGCCACTTCTGGTGAACCAGAGCAGCACACGGAAACACCATTTACCTTCCCACCAGAGTGGTACCTATTTATCTACTTGCACTTTGACGTGCTTTTGAACTGCTAGGTTGGCAGGAGCAGGGACCGAGCAACAGGAGCTCACCCCGTCGCAGGGATTTGAACCGCCGACCTTCTGATCGGCAAGCCCTAGGCTCAGTGGTTTAACCCACAGCGCCACCCGCTGTGTAGTAGTGTAGCAGTAGTAGTATATTATTTATACCCCTCCCATCTGGCTGGGTTTCCCCAGCCACTCCCAACAGAATATTAAAAACATGATAAAAGATCAAACATTAAAAATGTCCCTAAACAGGGCTACTTTCAGATGTCTTCTAAAAGTCAGATAGTTGTTTATTTCCTTGACATGTTATGGGAGGGTGTTCCACAGGGCAGGCGCCACGACTAAGAAGGCCCTCTGCCTCATTGAAAAGCAACAACCAAGAAGACCTTGTGGCTTGGGAACAAAACACTGCCTCACACCAAGGAACACCCTACATGTTCTCTCACATACCTTCTCCAAGATAACTACCACCACCTTGGCAATATGTACCAGAGACTGTCCCATTAGGAGGCAGAAGTCTCACCCATTTTGCAAAAAAAACCACCCCCACTTTTGTGATTCTTCCATCACTTCTTACTACATGCTAGGGGTGGTGTCGCTGAGCTTCAGGGGCAGGACAACATGAATGCATCTCTTCTTGAGGTGCTAGCTTTCTGCATACGGGTGGTTACAACGTGGAGGGTGGTATGGCGGTATTAGATGCCATCTCTGCAAACTTTCACAATGCCCGCTCCCCTTCCCACTCTCATGCCCGCGTGGCCCTACCTGGACCTGCCCCTTGCCCATGATCTTGTCCACGATCTCGTTGTTGTCCTTGTTCATCTTGCTCTTGTCATAGCATTTCTCGTAGCAGAGGATCCGCAGCGACTGTGAGCCCTCCAGCTCAATCTCAAACTCCTGCAGAAGTGGGGCAGAGCAAAGAGGGGAGAAGAGGAGAGTGAGTGGGGACACTGGGAAGGGTGGGGAGATGGGCGTGTTTGCTGTGTCGCTCAGGGAAGGACCATAACTCAGCAAGAGCCTCTGCTGTACACGCAGAAGGTCTCAGGTTTCAATTTCCGACAGCACCTCCAGGTAGGACTGAGAACGTCCCTTCCCTGAAACATTGCAGAGCTGTTGCCAGTCATAATAACAATAACAATAATAGTAATAATAATTTATTTCTTATGCCCTGCCCATCTGACTGGGTTGCCCCAGCCACTTTGGGTGGCTTCCAAGAAAATACAAACATTAAAAGCTTCCTAAAACAGGGCTGCCTTTAGATGTCTACGAAAACTCATATGATTGTTTCTCTCTCTGATATCTGGTGGGAGGGTGACACTACCAAGAAGGCCCTCTGCCTGGTTCCCTGTAACTTCTCGCAGTGAGGAAACTGCTGGAAGGCCCTTGGAGTTGGACCTCAGTGACCGGGCTGGACAATGGGGATGGAGACGCTCCTTCAGGTATAGAGTCAGGGTGGACAGTATTGGCAGTCTTTGCATACAGAAGGTCCCAAGTTCAATCTCTAGCGCCTTCAGGTAGGGCTGGGAATGTCCCTCCAGATCTGAAATCCGAGAGAGCTGCTACCAATCAGTGTGGACAACACTGAGCCAGATGGTCTGACTGAGCGGAACACAGGCTTGCCATGCACCTGAAAAATTCCAGACATGTACGGAAATTGGACACCTAAAATGGCATCCAGGGTTTTGTTTTTTTTTAATTTTAAGAGATGTCAGGAATTTCTGGGATGTATGGCAACCTGGGTTTCCCCCCCCCCGGGTTTTTTCCATTTTTGGGGGGGTGGTAAAAAAAATTATGGGGGAGGCTGTGTCCCGCCAGCAGTGGAAGTGACAAGAGGTCACTTCCCTTGGCTGGTGGAGGAGAGGGAGGAGGAGGGGGAGGGAGGCCACGCTGCCAACGTGAGCCTGGCCATTTTCAGTTTTTTTGGGTGGGGGGAGTCTGCAGGTTTTATGGCTTTGTTTATTTATTTTTTCTGATGGAGCTGGGCACAATGACCACCCAGTGACCATCCAGCCGGTGCCTTTGAGGGTCTCCCTCCCGCAACGGAGTGAGCGCAGCCACATGGAGGGCAGGGGGCTAGAGCTGCATGCGCAGCAGAATAGGGCTCTTGAGGCTCGAGGGGCTAGCAGTGAGAGGCACATTCTTACTCCTCCACCTCCTTAAGCATCAAGCAGCATTAAATTTAAAAAACGAAATAAAAACCAAGGCAGTTAAAAGGAACGCCTCTTCTCATCTGTGTGTAGCTCAACAACTTGGGTTAAAAAGGTAGCTTCCAATGTTACGATTTAAATCAGCCCTTAAACTGGAAGCATGAGGACTAGAATCTTGCTTTATTTTTGGGGGAAGAGCTGTTGCTCAGTGGCAGAGCTTTGGCTTTGCATGAAGAAAGTCCCAGGTCCAGTGCACAACAGTGTCTTCAAGTAGGGCTGGTATAAGACTCCTGGAGAGCTGCTGCCGGTCAGTTTGGACAACACTGAACTTGATGGGCCGGTGGACAGAGCAGCTTCTTTATGTTCTTATTGAAACTAGCCCTTAATTCAGAACTGTGAGGACTAGGCTTGCTCACCTCATTCCACTGGGGCTCGGTCGTGTCCCGGAACACCCGTGTCTTGGCTTTGCTGACAAAATAGCCAAAAGAGTCGACTTCCAGCGTGCAGTAGAGGTCTGGGAATAGGGAGAAGAGACATGGGAGGCAATCTTCCTGCCGCCCTGCACCTCAAGGGGGGAAGACTGGATACTTCTAACTGGGAAGGGCACCACTGAAAACCAATCAGTTAGATTAACTGATGGATCAAAAGCTTTTGATTGCTCTATCAGCCAGCAGGTTAATTAAAACAAATAAATAAATGCAGTAATAATAATTCTACAGCGTTGTAATCTAACACAGTTCTACGCAGGGCGGACTCGTCATTAGTCCTAGATGAATCAAATAATTGTAGAGATGGAAGGTACCACGAGGGTCATCTAGTCCAACCCTCTGCAAGGCAGGAATCTTTTGCCCCACATGGGGCTCAGACCCACAACCCCGAGATTTACTGTCTCATGCTCTACAGACGAAGACACTGTTGTGACAAACCCAGCCGTGCTTTTGTCTAAAAAGCAAGAGAAGTCTTGCACAGCCTTTTGGTTCCAGAATTATCACGTTTTCTCATACGCAACTGTGGTAAGTTAATGGACTGATGGAGCAAGACGTGCACGATTAAAAACAGACAAATATTTCTTGAAATGGGCAATTGGCCGGCTCTGAAGCACCACTTTTCCAGCTTCTTCAGACACAGGATATCTATTTAGCAAACAAACACCACCCCCAGAGTTGCACTAGAAGCCAAGAGCAGCCTGAGAGATGGTGTTTGCTGATTTGTTAGACTGCACTTTGCCGCTTCATCTGAGGGTGAAACGGAGCCTGGGAAGATCTCAAACAGAAAGCCAAAAATTAAAAATCAGGTTGATAAGGGAGGGGGCTGAAGAGCAAAGCAGGAGGGGGAGGGAAGCCCCTGGCTCCTTGACAGGTGGTGGCTCAGTGGACCCTGCAGAAAAGGCCAGGCAGCAAGAAGAAGCAGTTGCCATCTCTGGCCCCTTCCTATGCCAGGCCACTGCTGGCTCAAATCACAGAACGGGGAAGGGGAGAAACCAAAAATGCAGACATTCTCCCCGCCCCAATAAAACCCAGAAGCAGCACTCACTAGCAGATTGTTTGAAGCCCGTGGCAGAGTGGACGATAACATGTAAGAAGCCGTACATCCCAGGAGATTCGTCATCTGCGGAGAAATGAAGAACCACCCAAAGAGAAAGCTATTAGATTTGTTTGTTTGTTTTTCCGGTTGCAATCATTATTATTTGAGTGGAACTGCTTGGGCTGCTAAATTGAAGCAATTAATTAAAGGGCCCATGAAATGACTAACTAATGGAAGAAGACTCAGAAGGGTTGTCTTCGTCCACACCAAGTAAGATCGACGCTGCTAAAAGGCAGCTTTGGTAGGGCTGCAATGTTTAATCTGGGCACCTGTTGTGATTCTTTTAACCTTCATCTGATCTGTGAGGACCAAAGCCTCCAGCGTAAGCACACTTTTCACACATACAGCTGCAGAGCAGGCCATCCAGGGCATTGTCACAAATTGTCACCTGTACAACTTCCCCAAATTTCAGCCCTTTACCATTTATTGCTTTCCCCTTCTGGAAACACAAAACCACCCGAGGCCTAAGGTGACCTGCAAATGCGTTGAATTTTGCCATTGGGGTATGCATACTAACTCAGCCAGTGTTAGTGGGCTGGGGGAGTAAAACACTCCCTCATTTTCCCCTAGGGAATCCGTCAGAAAAAGGTCACGAAAGCGTGTGGGGTGTCAATAGGTTGGCACAAACTCGATTTCTCTTAACTAAAAATGATTTCCTTGGGTTTCTTAATGGGGTCAGAAAAAAACACTCCACAAAACTCCTAATGTTAGTTCTCACCTGTAACAAAAGAATTTCTAGACAGTTTACCATATTTTCATAACCTTTCCCCTATAAAATATAAGTTTTTGTTGCTTGTAAATGCCACTGAAAATAACCCACCACACAGTGGAAACCTCATTGGGATAGAAAGCGCCTCCCAAACTGTTAATGTGATTTTCTTTCACACTTTGGATGAAGGTTAATTGAAGATTACATGTTTTGTTTATTCTATAAAAATGAATAAAACAAACTTTTTTAAAAAAATGCTACTATGCCTCTGCTAAATAATTATAATAAAAAACAAAGACAGAAGAACACAGAGAACACAGGAAGGCAACAGTTTAGCCATGATGTCAGGAATCTCAGAAACACACTGCCGGGATAAGACACACAGCCTTATATACATGGTGGCATCTAGTGGTGGGACAGAGATGTAAACCCATAAACACAGAGATGTGGCCCGTAAGGACATGGCTGGGCACCATGTCGGCAACCTTTGTTGCTAGGGCAGGTCCTGGACTGGTACTCAAACTGGCATGAGCTGTGTGGTTCTTCTACTTCTGATGGTGGCAGAATCTTGGCAACGGGGAAACAGAGGGGAGGACAGAGCAATTGGAGCATTTCTGCACTTGGCTGTAGGCAAAAGTGTGCAGCACTGCTTTATGGCAGCTGGTGCCCACTGGGACTGGTAGGGTGGAAGGCAGGGAGCCTGACAGTAGGTGGCGCCAGAGCCAACAGAAGGTGCTGCCAACTAATTCTAGGGCATTCCATCTCACAATGAAGCAGAAGGCATCCAAGTGGTAGTGGGGGCAGGGGGTGGGGAGAGAGGAGGAGGGCAAAGGCATCACTCACCGTCCTTATTGCTGGTGACGGGAATGTTGTGGACGGTGCGTAGCTTGAAGCACGACCCTGTCAGGACCTGCAGCTCCACAGAGCTTAGCACAAAGGTCTGGAGATCTATCGTGCAGGAATAAAAGAAGTTGGTTTAGCACAGAGAAGAATTTGTGGGTTACAGTCCAGTATGAGACCAAACACACTGCATTACAAAGGATCTCTGGTTGCTTCCGCAGGAGATATTCACCAGGGGGCAGCAGAGAGTTAACACTGGGGAGACCCAACAAGAGCCCCTCTGGGCATCCTTTTTATTGCCCATTAGTGATGATTGGTCCTCGTGATGTCATCTGGTCAGCTACCTGCAAACCTGCCCGCAAGGTGTAGTGGATAGCGTGTCGGACTAGGACCTGGGAGTGACCAGGGTTCAAATCCCCATTTGGCCATGATGCTCACTGCCTTTGTCAACCTAATCTACCTCACAGGGTTGTTGTGAGAATAAATAGAGGCGGGGAACCATGTCTGCCACCTTGAGCTCCTCGGAGAAAAAGGCAGAATATAAATGCAATAAATAAATATTTTGGAGCAGACGTTCTGCTTCAGTTCGAATGGCTGTGTGTGCCGCAGCTTCCTGCTGAAATCTTGTTCACATTTCATACCGCAAACAGCTTATTTCAGGTCTTACTTTTGTGGCCCTCCGGATGGCAATAATGTGGTCACGTTGGGGAAGCATTGCAGAATAATGAATAAAGTGGAATGACATATGGACAGCCTAGCATAAATCCAGGGCTAAAGCACTATTATCCCATCAAATATTTATTTATTTATAAAAATATTTATATACCGCTATTTCATTGAAAAATATCAAAGCGGTTTACAATAATAGATAAAAGCATACAATAAAAAACTGTTCCAAGAATTAAAATCAGACATCGATTAACTATTGTGGAAAGATGCATTCTTAGTTTTCAGCATATGTTTAAAAGCCGAAACCAGCTTTCTGCTGTAGAATACATGAAATGACCCCTTTGGACTTTATTTTACATGGATGTTATTAGTATATAGTATATAGTATATAGTATATAGTATATAGTATATAGTATATAGTATATAAAAGGTAAAGGTACCCCTGCCCATACGGGCCAGTCTTGACAGACTCTAGGGTTGTGCGCCCATCTCACTCTATAGGCCGGGGGCCAGCGCTGTCCGCAGACACTTCCGGGTCACGTGGCCAGCGTGACAAGCTGCATCTGGCGAGCCAGCGCAGCACACGGAACGCCGTTTACCTTCCCGCTAGTAAGCGGTCCCTATTTATCTACTTGCACCCGGGGGTGCTTTCGAACTGCTAGGTTGGCAGGCGCTGGGACCGAGCAACGGGAGCGCACCCCGCCGCGGGGATTCGAACCGCCAACCTTTCGATCGGCAAGTCCTAGGCGCTGAGGCTTTAACCCACAGCGCCACCCGCGTCCCATATAGTATATAGTATATAGTATATAGTATTGTGGTTATGGCTTATGGCTTATGGCTAAGCAAATAAATTTACCTTATTTTCCCTCCCTCAAACCCCCACCAATCTAGAGGGACTCTTACTGTAGAAACTGGTCCCTGGAACCCCCATCCAGATGACCCCACAGTCACCAGATTAGCCAGAGGCCAAAGAAAAATGTAGCGGTTTTGGGAAGCCAGCCATGGAAGGAAGGGTCTGGGGCCTCAGGCCCCGAAGCCCCCCGCTCCCTTCTTGAACTGGGCATTCAGGCAATGCTAGTGGTCAGCCTGGGCACTGCCAGGTTGTGAAGGGCGAGATGTTACCACAACAAGAATCTCTTGCCTTTCTTCTGCAGCTTTTGGATGGCCTCCCTCCACTCGGCTCGCTCGTAGTCGGAGGAAAGCAGGAACAGGTAGCTCTGGAAGAAAAGCAGGATGGTGCTCAGCCTGGGTGGCAAACATAGGAGCTCCCTGCCTTCCAAAGAGCAGAGAGAGAGAGAGAGAGAAAGTACATGGCCCACACAAAGAGGAGGAAGATCAGAGTTTTGGGGCAGCAGCAGGGGGTAGCAATCACGGGGAAGACTCTTCTCTGTTGGAGAGCTGCTGCCAGTCAAGGGAAGACAATGTTGGACTAGGTGGACAGATAGCCTGACAATACGATACGATACGATAATCTTGATTGTCATTGTCCCATACAGAACAACGAAATTGAAAAAATCTACATCAAACATTCAAAACCAACAAGCCTGCTATCCCAGCCTGTTTAGCCCCCTAAAAACTCTAGTACCCCATAATTAAATATACTCCCATAGAGACTACCTTACACTGCGTTTAAAACCAAAATCGCATTTGGATAGAAACTGTTTCTCAGGCGGCTAGTCCTAGTATTTATAACCCTGTACCTTCTTCCAGAGGGACAGCAGTGGTGCTGTGGGTTAAACCACAGAGCCTAGGGTTGCCGATCAGAAGGTTGGCGGATCAAATCCCTGCAACGGGGTGAGCTCCCGTTGCTCGGTCCCTACTCCTGCCAACCTCGCAGTTTGAAAGCACGTCAAAGTGCAAGTAGATAAATAGGTACCGCTCCGGCGGGAAGGTAAACGGCGTTTCTGTGTGCTGCTCTGGTTCGCCAGAAGCGGCTTAATTATGCTGGCCACATGACCCGGAAGCTGTACACCGGCTCCCTCGGCCAATAAAGCGAGATGAGTGCTGCAACCCCAGAGTCGGTCACGACTGGACCTAATGGTCAGGGGTCCCTTTACCTTTACCTTCTTCCAGAAGGCAGAAGCTGAAAGAGATCATTTCTGTGGTGCGCACTATCCTGCGCTATCTCTGCAGCTTTCTTATGACACCTGGAAGCGTAGATTTGATTCAAGGTGGGAAGAGTGCACCCAATTATTCTCTCCACAGCCTTTACAACCCTGGACAGCATTGTTTTTCCCCTGTCCGTGCAGCTCCCAAACCACACACACAGACCGTAAGTTAATACACTCTCAACAGTACAATGGTAAAATGCCATCAACAGGTCCTTTGAGAGATTGTTTTTCCGGAGGATTCTCAGAAAATATAACCTCTGTCCTAACTTAAGGGATTTTCCTATGTTCTTTAGAGAGGCTCAGTGATAGAGCACCTGCTTTGTTTGCAGAAGGTCCCAGGTCCAATCCCCCGTGGCATTTCCAGGCAGAGCTGGAACCCCAGAGAGCTGCTGCCAGTCAGTGCAGACAATACTGAGTGAGATGGACCAATGTGGCCTCACTCAGTATAAGCCAGCTTCCCACGTACTTATTTAAATCAGAACCATGAGGACTGGGATCTTGCTCTGCTGATTTAAGCGAAAGGGCTGTCGCTCAGAGGTGGAGCGCCTGCTTTGCATGCAGAAGGTCCAATTAAAATAAAAGATTGGCAACTGTAAAGACCCTTCTCTGTCCGGGACCCCAGAAAGCAGCTGCCAATCAGAGGAGGCGCTTGCCTCTCTCTTCCCGCCCACAGCCCCACCCCTACCCAGGCACGACTCATCTGTCCGTACTTTCCCATTGCGGTTGTGGATCCGGAAGGGGATGGATGGGGAGTTGAGCAGGAGCCAGAACTCGTTGTCAAACATCTTCTTCTTTAGCCGTTCCATCGCTCGGCTCTGACCCTTGTTCGCCTTCTGGGAAAGGGGAGAAGGAACAATGTTTGACACACAATTCTCTTCCATTTGGGACATTCCAGGGGCATCAGTGGGTCACATAAAAGATTCAGGGACAGGAGTCCATAGAGACAAATCTGCATAAAATATGCACATGCTAATACATTACGCTAACACCTATGTTTATTCCCAAGCTTTCACCCTGACTCATAAAATTGGACCTTGTTTCATGTGTTAGAACCTTCTGGGTTTCTTTTATTCACATTTATAAACGACTTTTAATAATGTGTCTTAATATTGTGTCTTAATTGTTGTAACTTGCCCGTGGACCTTTGGGTGAATGGTGGATAATCATTACTAATAATAGTAGTTTTAGATTGTGTTTATGTTCTTGCTTTAATGATACTGTACATTGTTTGGGGTTTGGTTAGACTACACACCACTTAGAGATTTTTAAAATATTAAGTAGATTATAATTGCTATTAAATAACTGAATAGATGCAAATTTAAGCTTTAACTCTCAAAACAGAACAAAATCAACTAATTTTCCATCCGAATCACCTTAGAGCAAATTCTTCATTTACCTCTCCCTCAAATTAATTTTCCCAAGAGATCCTGCTCCAGATCCATTCAACTGTCCCTGTTCCTCAGTCCCTAAATCATTTCTAGACAGAGAAAACCAAATTTCTTCTCCCAAATTTATATCCCACCCAGTCACTCAGATCTCCCCACAACTCAGTCTCTCACAGAAACACTCTTTGGGGCACTTAGAAAAAGATCCGGGGTCCTGTACCCTGTGGCCTCCTCCTTAGCTATACTGCTGTCTCGGATATAAATTTGGGAAGTCACTAAGTGCAGGAATCCAATGTCCAGAAGGCGATTCTGTCTTCAAAGCGGGCTGGTGGAGTTTCCAAAAGGCATCTTGCCAGCCTGCACTGGAAACAGAATACTGGGGTAGAGGTAGACGGACCTTTCCATATGATCCAGCAAGGGTGATTTTAGCCTGACCCAGGGCATACCTCCTTCTGCACCTCGCTCTTCATAGAGGAGATCTTTATCTTCATGTCCTCCAGGTCGTGGTCAGGCATGGCATGGACGTGTGGGCAGGAGTCCGACTCCTCCAGTGACGGGAACACCAGTTCGGCCAAGGGCATGTACCACTTGCAGTCATATTGCTGGTGTTTCCTGGGAAGGAAACGAAGAGCTCATTCTGGGCAACCCCAGTGATCCACACGGCCCCATCCCCATTTGGACTGCAGGCCGAGGAAAAGACTCCCGCCCCAGACCCTGCAGAGCTGTTGCCAGCCAGAGTAGACAGTATGGAACTATACAGGCCAAGTGGAAGGACGGTAGCTCAGTGCTGCAAAGCATCTGCCTTGAATGCAGAAGGTTCAACCCCTACAGCATCTCCAGGTAAGGCTGCGACTGTGCCCTGTCTGGAACCCTGCTGCCAGTCAGTGCAGACAATACTAGATGCCACAGTATAAGGCAGCTTCCTATATTCCTTTTTAAACCAACCCTCAATTCGGAATCATGAGGACTGGAATCTTGGCTTTATTTTTAGGGGAACAGATGAAGCTCACTGGCAGCACCTCCAGACAGACGGTCCCAGATTCAGTCCCTGGAATCTCTAAGCATGCCTGGAAAATATTTCCTGCCTGAAACCCTGGAGTGCCGCTGCCAGTTAGAGCAGAGAACAGTAAGCTAGATTGACAAACAGCATCAGGCCGTTTGCTACACTCCCATTTGAAGCACCCTTTTCTTCAGAACCATGTAGATTGGGGTATTAACTTCATTTTTAAAGAACAAACATTTGCTCAGTGGCAGAGCACACTGTCTGCATGCAAAAGCTCCCAGATTCAATCCCTGGAAGTAACTCCAGGTTATACCGCTTAGGGATATTTTAAATATATTAAGCGGTATAGAAATTAAATAATCATTCATTCTGCTACGGACAAAGTGCAAGGGAAGTTCAGGATTCCCACCCTGTGCCCTGTTCTTCCCTACTCATCTAGACCTCCCCCAGGCCTCACCCCACGCCTGTTTTCTTCAGCTTGGCACAGAGAAGGACGTCTGTGAAGAGGAAGACATGGCGCAGCTTGCGGGAGCCCTCGGCCAACTCCACCAAGAAGCCGTCCTTGACCAGTTGCCGCGTCTGCAGGTGCGACAGCAAAAGAGGAAAGCACGTGTGTGAGGAGGAGGAGGAGGAAGAAGGGAATGTAAGAACACCAGCAGCCAGTGGCCCGTCAGGTTCCCAGCATCCCCTTCTCACAGTGGCCAACCAGGTGCCCCCAAAGGAAGCCCACAAGCAGAGCCTGAGCACAAGAGCAACTCCCCAGTATACTGCCTCCAAAAGTGGAAGCAGCGTACAGCCTTCAGTAGCTTTATCCTCGTGAATTAGTGTAATGGTCAGGGACTGGCTAGATGAGTGGTGGCAGCTGCCTGCCCAAGGAGGGCAAAAGACGATGACTTAGATCAGGGCTCCTCAAACTTTTTAAACAGGGGGCCAGTTCACTGGGGGCCAGACTATAGTTTGAAAATAATAATATGAACGAATTCCTATGCACACTGCACATATTTTATTTGTAGTGCACATAAAACAGGAAAAACAATACATTTTTAAAAATGTTAGATTATGGGTGGTAGCCAATGCCAGTTTGCCAGATCACTCAGAGTAGATCTACTGAAAACAATGAACATGAGTCACTTGGGTCTATTAATTTCAATGGGTCTACGCAGAGTAACACTGAGTTTTGCCCACCTCCCAATTACTTGCAGCACTGTCCGAAACGCCTTATTATGTCGACACCCTCGTCCGTACGTCCCCCACTTTCCTCCACAAATCCATGCCACTTGTGGCGAGGCGACCATCGGGGAGGGAGAGGCGATCAAGCAAGCAGCCACACCAACATATATTAAAAGGAGTGCCTTCTCCAGCAACCAACCTGCCCCCCTCCAAGGTCTTGGATATGGAGGAGGAACAACTGCGAGGGAACTAACTTAGGTAGACCGGAGGAGCAGGGAGGTAGAAGCGGGCATAGATTTTCTCCTATAGGGGAAGGGTGGCGGTGGCAGTGGCAGGATCCTTGCAACACCCAGCATGTTCTCCCTACCCATATCTTCGGCTAGCCCTGTCCTGCTTCCCCCAGCAGCCCAGCAGTGTTGCGCATCTCCCCTCCGAGACCTCCTCAACTGGCGCATGTAAGCCAAGGAACCTTTTGGAACGCCGGGGATGGAATTGTTGCTAATTTTCGCCGCTTTCCTTTTTGTGCGCAGTGGGTTCTGCAATTGCCAGACGGGCCGGGTTCAGGACCCTGGTGGGCCGGATCTGGCCCTTGGACCGTAGTTTGAGGACCCCTGACTTAGATCCTGGACCCTGCTGGTGGAACACTGAAGAACAGTCTGCAGAAGGGACGAGCTGGGAGGTGGAGGAAGCGGGGTGGTGGTGTGAGCAATCAAAGGGGGTGGGGGTCAGGATAAGCAATTAGAGGCTGAGACAGGGTTAGAGGCTGAGAGTCACAGTGTGAGCGCCAACTCAGACAGAGAGGGGTCAGAGGTTGACCTTGCTCCCCAGTTCTCCTCTGCCTCTGACACCCCACTCAAGAGTCCTGCTGCACGTTACTGAGCAAGGGGCCAGACAGGCCCAGAGGAGGAGCTCACCCCTTGACGCAGCCTTCGTCTCAGCTCTACCTCTCTTTTAAATCAGAACCAGTGAAGGCGGTGAATGTCCTGTGTGAGTGTCTGGAGGCGGTTGAAGGATGGATGGCTGCTAACAGATTGAGGCTGAATCCTGACAAGACAGAAGTTCTATTTTGGGGGGACAGGGGGCGGGCGGGTGTGGGGGACTCCCTGGTCCTGAATGGGGTAACTGTGCCCCTGAAGGACCAGGTGCGCAGCCTGGGAGTCATTTTGGTCTCACAGCTGTCCATGGAGGCGCAGGTTAATTCTGTGTCCAGGGCAGCTGTCTACCAGCTCCACCTGGTACGCAGGCTGAGACCCTCCCTGCCCGCAGACTGTCTCACCAGAGTGGTGCAGGCTCTAGTTCAGTGTTTCCCAACCTTGGGCCTCCAGCTGTTTTTGAACTACAATTCCCATCATCCCTGACCACTGGTCTTGCTAGCTAGGGAAGATGGGAGTTGTAGTCCAAAAACAGCTGGAGGCCCAAGGTTGGGAAACACTGCTCTAGTTATCTCCCACTTAGACTACTGCAATGCGCTGTACGTGGGGCTACCTTTTAAGGTGACCCGGAAACTGCAATTAATCCAGAATACGGCAGCTAGACTGGTGACTGGGAGTGGCCACCAGGACCACATAACACCAGTCCTGAGAGATCTGCATTGGCTCCCAGTACGTTTCCGAGCACAATTCAAAGTGTTGGTGCTGACTTTTAAAGTCCTCAATGGCCTCGGTCCTGTATACCTGAAGGAGCATCTCCACCCCCATCGTTCAGCCCGGACACTGAGGTCCAGCACTGAGGGCCTTCTGGCGGTTCCCTCACTGTGAGAAGCAAAGCTACAGGGAACCAGGCAGAGGGCCTTCTCGGTAGTGGCACCCACCCTGCGGAACACCCTCCTATCAGATGTCAAGGAAATAAGCAGCTATCTTATTTTTAAAAGACATCTGAAGGCAGCCCTCTTTAGGGAAGTTTTTAATATTTAATGCCGTATTGTTCTTAACACTCAATTGGGAGCTGCCCAGAGTGGCTGGGGAAAGTGAGAGGCTAGAGGGGAAGGGCGGGGACAGTGGTCAGTTTCAAAACGTCTCCAGCTGCACTGAGACCAGCCAGAGGAGCTCTGCTGCATTGTTCGTTTCTGTTATGCAAAAGCTAATTGCATTCTGTGCCTCCGGTGCCACCCTGCCCTGTGGTCAACCTGGGCTCGCTTGACAGCTCCTTGACAAATTGCTGAAACTCTGACAGTAATCCTCTTGTAATGCTATCGTGGTTGGTGGGCATCGCTGCCTCCGGTGAGAGAAATACTGAGCAATACTGAGCTAATATGCTCCTATGGCTCTTCCCAAGTTCTCAAAATATGCCCCCTCCAGGCACCCCCTCTCACTGCTCTGCCAGCCTCTCAGTGCTGGAAGCTTCTCTGGCCCCTCTCTCTCACACACACCCCACTTCATCCCCTCCCGCTTACCTCTCCTTTGGGGGTGGTGACTGCCGTCCTGCGGGGGTCGATGTCCTCATTGATACTGGAGAGGAAGTTCTGAGAGATACGGAGGGCATCTTGGAGCAGCGGGTAGTCGGGGTGGTCAGAAGGAGTGTGCTTGAGCAGATCCTAGTGCAGCAGGAGAAGAATGGACCTTGAGATTTTAAGGTAAAGGTAAAGGTACCCCTGCCGGTACGGGCCAGTCTTGACAGACTCTGGGGTTGTGCGCCCATCTCACTCAAGAGGCCGGGGGCCAGCGCTGTCCGGAGACACTTCCGGGTCACGTGGCCAGCGTGACAAGCTGCATCTGGCGAGCCAGCGCAGCACACGGAACGCCGTTTACCTTCCCGCTGGTAAGCGGTCCCTATTTATCTACTTGCACCCGGGGGTGCTTTCAAACTGCTAGGTTGGCAGGCGCTGGGACCGAGCAGCGGGAGCGCACCCCGCCGCGGGGATTCAAACCGCCGACCTTTCGATCGGCAAGCCCTAGGCGCTGAGGCTTTTACCCACAGCACCACCCGCGTCCCTTGAGATTTTACAGATGTGTTATTTCTTTATTATTATTATTTTTAATGCATTATGTGACTTTCCAGAAAGTGAGCCATGTTAGTCTTTATGGTGCTATAAGAGTCTTTGAGCTGGCTTTGCTGCCGCTGAGTAACACATCTTAAAATGGCAAGATTCAAAAGCCAGTGGGGAAGACATGTTGGCCTCCCAGGACATGTTTGTTTGTTTAAAACATGGGTAGGCAAACTAAGGCCTGGGGGCTGGATCCGGCCCAATCGCCTTCTTAATCCGGCCTGCGGACGGTCCAGGAATCAGCGTGTTTTTACATGAGTAGAATGTGTGGTTTCATTTAAAATGCACCTCTCTGGGTTATTTGTGGGGCATAGGAATTCGTTCATTTATTCTCCCAAAAATATAGTCCGGCCCCCCACAAGGTCTGAGGGACAGTGGACCAACCCCCTGCTGAAAAAGTTTGCTGACCCCTGGCTTAAAACAAAAGAAGAAGGTGACTTAAGAGAGGACACCCTTTTAATGACTTAAAGTGGCCGTTTTTGAACTTTGCAGCGTGAAACCACTGAATTATTATTATTACCATTTCTCAAGAGGTTTAATGCTATCATTTATGGACAGGATCAGGACAAAGGTGTTGATGGGTTTTTTTAAAAAATCACAGTCCCTTCCAACTCTACAATTCTGTGACTCTACTATGACAAGTGTTAACTGTCTGACCAATGCCACAATGTCTGTGTTATTAACAACTGTTTTACAAACTGCCATGGTCAGTTATGTACATCAGTGTCCTCACTTCTGCATTTAATTTTGCTCTGATTTCATCTGGAAAGAACCCAGAAAAAACAGGCTAATGCAGACTAAGCATGTTCTGTAGCCACAGAACACCAAATATCTGTTGGCGTGGTTTTGATGGTGGTATAGAAAATGGGGATGGAGGGATGGAATGGCATATTCGGTTAAAGGGCACAGCTGGCACCCGGGGCTGGCAAAACGTTGCTCTATACTGCAACATTTTGTTGCGGGTTCCATTTCAATAGGGTCTACACCTTGAGATGGTAGTTGTTTTTATTTTAAAAAAAAATCTGCAAGGATTAAATATGGGCAGGTTTTGATCATAGCAAAGAGGCAAATGGATTCCTTGGTTTTGTAGAAATTGCTCTCTTACATCCGCATACGTGAGACCGGCTGAATTTTGGAGCGCTGGCGTGTGACGGCAACAGGTGAAAAGCAAAAGCTATACTTACGTGTAATACAAGAGTGCTCCGGGTCACTCGATTTATAGGTTTGTACAGCAGCGCTATAAGCAAGGAAAAGAGAGACAGGTAAGCCGGTGAGTGCCACACAAAATAGCCACTGTATCCACAATGTGCGTCAGCCACATGTAGGGCACTGCCCCACCAACTCCAGTCTGCCCTCAGCCAGCCCCCAACTGCCCGGCCTTTTTAACACTCAAGCAGCCCACTGAGTGGCCCTGCCTGTCAACTTGTTCCTCCTCCTCTTCTGTCTCAGTGCTGCCCCTTGTAGAACTCAGCTGTGTGGGGGGTTCCCCTCAGAGAAAGGCAGGGTTCAAATTTATTAAATAAATGAAAAGCCTGGTCTATTCTGTTATGAGACATTGGAAATAGCCCTTCTTTGTGTGCCTCCAACACAAGAGGTCCAGAGGGTGGCAACATGAGAACGGGGCCTTTTCTGTGGTGGCTCCCCATTTGCAGAATGCTCTCCCCAGGGAGGCTCGTCTGGCACCTTCATTATATACCTTTAGGCACCAGGCAAAAGCGTTCCTCTTCAACCAGGCCTTGGCCTGATTGACATCCTTTTAAATGTGTTGTGGGGGGGCGGGGTTATTGGGTTGTCTTTGTTTTTATTTATGTATTTGCAGATTTTTATGCTGTGAACTGCCCTGAGATCTAAAGGTATAGGGTGATAAACTAACAACAACAACAACATTGCTGCCTGTGGCTTCAATGTTTTGTTATTCCTGTTTCACTTCTCACCTCTGTGATCAGACTGATTTGGGATTGCTACAAAACCACATAAAGCACATGCCACCTGTCTACAAACAGAAGGGCCTTCTTGGTAGTGGCGCCTTCTCTGTGGAACGCCCTCCCACTAGATGTCAAGGAAATAAAAAACTATCTGACTTTTAGAAGACATCTGAAGGCAGCCCTGTTTAGGGAAGCTTTTAATGTTTGATGTTTTATTGTGTTTTTCATATCCTGTTGGAAGCCAACCAGAGTGGCTGCGGAGGCCCGGCCAGATGGGTGGGATATAAGTAACAAATTATTATTATTATTATTATTATTATTATTATTATTATTATTCCCACTGGATATTTGCTGAACTACAACTCCCATCCTCCCTCACCATTGGTTGTGCTGAGTGAGGGCTGATGGGATCTGGAGTCCAAAACATGTGGAGGAGACCAACTGATAGGCCAAAAGCAAACATGGCGCTGGCAGCCATTTTGCCTCTTCACGTGCCCCTCACAAATAAAGGGAGCTGAACTCCACCACACCCATAACCATCTCTGGCCTAACCTTGCCTTGCCCCGTCACACACATCAAGGTGTGTCTTTGTGTGTGTGAGAGAGATTCATGCTCCCATTTCCTGTACAAACTAAGTCCCTTCCGCTTCATATGTGAAGAGGGCAGGCTCTGAACAAACATGGCCGTCCTACCACGTTGGGACGTGGGGCTGTAGCACGTCCATTGCCCTCAGAGCAGGCCCATTGAAATGAATGGACATGACTAGCAAAGCCCCATTCATTTCAATGGGTCTACTCCGAGTAACAGTTAGCTGGACAAAACCCAGCTAGGGAAGGGGGCAGACCCAGAGCAAACATGGCCGCCCAACCACTCCTCTAGTTTAAACAGAGGCAAAAGGGGAATGCATGTCAGTGCCACAGAGATGGGGCACAGGGTTAGGGGACATGCGGCCTTCCAAATCTGGTGGGCCTCCAACTTCCATCAGCCCTGGCCAGGGATGATGGGAGCTGGAGCCCCACAGATGTTTCCCACTCTGCTCTAGGCCCACATCTATTGACTAACCACCCAAAAAACCTATTGGCATTCTCTGAAACCCAGCCCAGTCAACAGAGCCTAACAGAGGGTGGCCCCAAAGTTTCTATCTTTTCCTTTTCCCAATGGGAAATGGGTGGAATAATGAGTTTTCCCATTATATAACAAAAGGAAGGGAAGTGGGGGTTGGTGCTGTGAACCGCCCCGAGATCTTCGGATGAAGGGCTGTATACAAATTTAAGTAAGAAATAAAATAAACAGCGTCAAAATAGAGATGAAAAGAAAGAAAAACAGGCAGAACCTCAAAAACAAAGGTTGTACACCAGACCACACCAGCTGTCTCCCACCAAAAAAAATATATTCTGCATTTTTGCAGAGCTCCTGAGGCATCATCTCTTGCTCTGTATCACACACCCCTTCTCACTGCAAGTGTGAGCAAGAAGAGGGGAAATTATGATCTTTAATACTATCTGGGTGGGTGTGCCCAAGCATTTGAAACTAACGTCAGATTCTGAAATAAATACTGTACAGGCACAGGGAGTTTCCTCAGACTTCTACTTGGGTTACGGAAGCGTGGTTTTAAAAAAACATTTTGGAAGAATGACACAGATCAAGCGGTTTTGCACGCTGACACAGTGGCTAAGTGCTTGGAAAACTATTGTTTCATTTCACCTCCTTGAATTCCACATTACATCATCCTTTCTTTTTTAAAAAAAGACAAGTGCCAAGGACACAGCTTAAAGAGAGTTTTCCCGGCTGAATCCCAAAACTCTCGTGTCTCTCTGGGACGCCTCCTTGAGGATGGCCCACAGAATTTTGGTGTCCGGGACAAAATGGCACATGCGGAACTCATAGCAATTAAAAAATACACACACACAAACCCCAAACCCAGTCCTGCCATTAAGCTATAAAACTGACAATTTGCTGCCCTCTAGCGGTGCAGCAAAACCTGCTGCCCGAGTCAAGAATTAAGGCAGGCGGAGGCTGAGCATTCATCTCCCTGAAATGTTTGTGCGCTTGGCTCCAGTCCAGCCCAGACGCACATCGTGGATTTCCCCCTTTCCCCGCTCAAAGCCACTTCCCCAAGCTGGAGGGAACAGGCAGGGTCTCGTTCTGAAACGGACGCAAATAGGGAAATTCATCCTCGCCCCCTCACAAAGCAGAGTGCCCAATCCCCACAACCCAACCACCCGTGCCAGTGCCAATGCCAACCCAACGGGGGCATCTCTTGAGGAAGCTCCTCACCCCAAAGGGAACGGGTGCAACAAATCCCCATTTCAATGGGACACATTTGCGTATAGGAGCGGTGACAGAATTTATATCGCCTTTAGTAACAAGGGGCAGGTAAAACGCCGTTCCTCCTCCACCCCCAACCCCCTCCGTGGTGGTTAAAAGGAAATTGACACCCCCAAATCAGTCACTTTAGATAACACCCCTGAAAAGCAAGAAGTAAAAACCCATGTTGAAAAGAGTCCTAGGAAATGCCCAAAAATTGGGGTCCAGCACCCCAATAAAGATGGCCATGATGAAAAATAGTGGTTGCCAACACAGCCCCCCTGCTCGTCACCATGGTTACAAGGCCTGGAAGGGAGGGGGAGCAAACATTTAGGGGGGAATTGCGGGAGGTGAATACCCCACTTCCCTTGGGCGGCGAGTGAATGGGGCAAAGATGAAGCAAATGTGAGGTGGTTTGGGGGAGTCAGTGGGTGGGAGGGATGGAGAAAATGGGACAGGTGTGTTTCCACCCCCAGCCACCTTTTGTTACAGGTTCCAGGGAGAATTCTGCATTCAGAGGTCACAAAGACGCACGTCAATTGAAGTTGCGCCCTAACGGGACCAGGCAGAGACTGGGGGCAAATAGTGACAGAGTAGCAGTGGGAGCCCCCCCCCAAAAAAACCCACCTGCCATAGGGACCCAATATTTCCTTGAGTGTCGGTCCCTTGGTTCCCACTAAATGGGGGGGAACACCTAGCGACAGAGAATAGCCCAGCCCTCGGATCGCTTAGGAACAAAGAAATCACCAAGTTGGCACTCCCAAGCGGAGCAGAAAAAAGAGAAATCTGGAAAAGTGGGGGGAAGGTTTCTGAGTCACGCTAAGACCCCTCCACACTTCCCCGGCACCCGGACCGGTGAGGACAAAGGCTTGGTTGCCGGAGAGGCATTTGTGGAGACAAAGAGAGCAGCGAGAGAGAGAATCCTTACAAGCCACCCCAAGAGAGGACCCCAGACCCGAGCGAGCGACACCGTCCCTGCCCTGCACACCTGCTCTTTTTAAAAAATGGGGGAGGGGGATGGAGATGGATGGAAAGGAGACCCCCACCGTAGGTGCAGTTACAGCAAAAGCGGATGATGAGCAGAATCTCCATGGCACCCTCCTTGCGGCATGGCTAGCACCCGGCTCCATCGGTGGCAGTCCGCTGGCTGTCGGTGAAAAGAGCTCCAAAGCCAGCCGGTAGTTGTAGGGGAGGGAGGAGGAGGAGGAGGAGGAGGGAAGGGGGCGTGAGGGGCTGTAAGACGCTGCTAGCATTGTAAAAAGGTGCAGACCCCTCCTCTCAGCCCCCTTGCCTCCCGCCTCTCCCCATAAGAGCACAAAGGGATCCGTATCTCCAATATGCACACACAGCATCGGATATTATCTATCCTTTGATGGGCTCAGGGGATGGTGGGGTGGGTTTTTTTGGAGAGTCAGACAAAAGAGCATGCCACATAATTTAAACGCTCGCTCACACACACCTACAAAAATATATGCAAGCAATAAAATCGATACCTTCCATGGTAACGGAGGTGTGGCTCTCTTTTGAATCCTTTGGGCCCTTGACTTTCAGCTCCTGCCGAGAGGGGAAAGAACCGTTAGAGGCCACCTTTAGGGAACGGGCCATTCTGCAAACATCTTACCCAGGAGTAAATCTCATGGAGTTCAATGGGACTTGGTCCCCTGTGAGTGTTACATCCTCGGGGTTGCAGAGTAGACCCACTGGAATTAATGTGCCCACGTTAGCCGTGTCCATTAATTTCAGTTTTGTACCAGAGACAGCCCCCATCACCCAAGGTTTCTAAAATCCGGTCTCTTTTCCTCTTCTAAATTCCCAAGGATTGCACCCTTTGTATGCCAAAAATTATCATCTTTTTTTAAAACAGAGAACGAGAGTGCCTGAGGATATGCAGAGAGGACCCTGGCCAGCAAGCTGAGGTCAGACACAGGCACACCGTTCTACTCCCCCGAGTTATATCCAACTAAATTCTATGCAGAGACCCTATGCAGAGAAGAACTGGAATTAGGGGAGTTACGTTAAGTCACATATCTCTGAGTAAGACCAAGATTGGCTATAAGCCAAAGGATTTGGAGAGAAAGGGTTGATTTAAAAGAGGGGCACAATTTCTGAAGTTTGTTGAGCCCAAGAGAAAGTAATTTCAGTGGTGGTGGTGGGGTCATTAATAGAGTGCAGAGAGAGAACAAAGAATTGACTCCATTGACTTCCAGAGACCCCCTGCCTCATTTAAACTCAGAAGACACCTGTTATAGATGTACTCCACACAGGAATTTCTACACACAAAAAGAACCATTTGAGTAGCTTTTAAAATGACCAGATATGGACAAAAAGGTTCCTAGAAAAATACATTTCTTGGCTGGCCTCCTCACTCACGCTGCCCAACATCACGGGCGTCAGATCAGAAGAAATAGTCCCCTTTTGAGCCCAGCCGCTGCCACCCACAAATCACAGAAATCAAAAAATTGTAGAGTTGGAAGGAACCACGAGGGCCATCTAGTTCAACCCCCTGCGAAGCAGGAATCTTCTGCCCCACATGGGGCTCAAACCCACAACCCCCAGCTGCTCCACCAACTGAGCCATACCAGTTTCACAAGCTAACTCTTGGAAGTGGGAGTGGTGGTAAGACTGTGACTGCTCAAGGAAGTTCCGTTTGTCAATCATGTCACAATTTTGCCCCCCTAAACACCAACAGAGACCCTTGTCTCTGCTTGGGAAGGAAATCCAAATTCTTTACAATGCCCGGAGGATTTTGGGATTAGAATAAATTATGCCAGCAAAGACATGGTATAAAGTGGAGAAAGATGTCTGGGGCAGGGATGAAATTTTGGAGCCCCCCTTGCCCCTTTCCCGCCAACCCCCAGCAAGAGAAAGTAGAAATGGGATCAAACAGTAGGCAGGGAGGCTTGCACTGCATTTTTCAAAATACACAATTCTGTTTACTGCACAGTAATTAGGAAGAGATCAGCAAATCCTTTGTATAGCAAAGGGATTTGTAAGCTGCCCTACTTTGTAGACTCCTCAGGGCAAAGACTTTTCTCTTTCTGGAGCAGGAAGGGGAGGCTATATTACTCTATAAAAAATCTCATTAGGCAAACTAGGGTGTGTGTGTGTGTGTGTGTGTGTGTGTGTGTGTGTGTCCATCCTGACCAACCTCACAGGGTTGTTGTAAGGATACAGTAAAACGCACATACTGACCCGCTCACAGGATTAACTCCATCTATACCACTTTTGACCCACGTGAAGAAAAGAGAAGCAAATAAACGACAATATTTTGAATCCTCACCTCTGAGATTTTCTGAAATTGGTTGTTGCTCTGGCTGCATTTTTCTGCCGTCTCCAGCGCAATTTTGTAGTTGTCCACGAAGGCCTTGTACACCCCCAGCTGGCTAGCCTATTTGTGGGGGGGCAAGCAGTGATTTGTTGCATAGGGAGGGAAACATTAGAAAACCATTAAGTTCATTCCCTGAGGCCATAGGTCACAGCCTTCTTAAACCGTGGCACCCACACTTTCTGATCCATATCCCCGCAGGCCCCATTATTAAAGGGGTTCATCACAGGACTCGAGATAATCAAGGCCACATAGTTTTATACCTCCCTTTCCCGAAATAGCTGAGGATCACTCCACAAACAGGTGAGATCTTTGAATGCACCCTCCCCAAACAAAAATAAAAATAGTATAATTACAGCTTGCGCAGCAATTTTCCTAAAACCCAAGATGGGAAAAGAAATCCAATTTTTGTTAAGTAACAAAGAAACATTTGCATCCACCTTTAGGCAAGGACAAATCCATCTGCAGCAGCACAACCTTAATTTTCTAAGTGCTGCTTTGGCAGGGAGGATTTCCATTTAGTATAGGTTTGGTTGTTTTTAAAATAATCATTATATTATACAGCAACGGGGGCAGTGGGAGGGGCAGAACATTTGGTTCCACAGGCCAGATCCTTATGAGGACCTAGCCTTGCAGGCCAAATCTGAAACATGTCAATGACCTGATGCCACAATGACATCGGGAGATTGGGTGCTTTGAAGGCCCGAAGTTAGTGCTTTAAGGCACCTGAGGCTTCTGGTAGACCAAAGCCTGATTTCCACTGCCAATGTAGAAGTGGAATCTTTCAGATGCCTGGATAGCTCACTTGGATACAGCGTGGTGCTGATAACGCCAAGGTTGCAGGTTCAATCCCCGTATGGGACAGCCATACAGGCGAGTCCTTTAAGGTTCCCTTCCAACTCTACAATTCCATGATTCTAATCATGTCCATTAACTGCAAATTGGCCTTCTCTGAGTAGGAATAGAATTGGATGCAACCCACTTTTAAACACAATCAGAAGCAAAGGAACACCCTTTTTTGTGTGTGATGTTTTCTCCACTTGGAACAAAGCAAGACAAAAACCCACGCATTGGGCCTTTGCACACCTGCCCCATCTAATTCCAGGAATTAAAAACAGAGGAAGATGCTCCTTCCCATCTCAGATTAACAGCATCCTCGTTTCTGAATTCAGACAGGACCCCCCAAAGGTAGCACTGGGGATGCCTAAGAGGTAGCTGATTTTAAAAAATATTTTGTATATATCCCAAATCTGCAGGAATCCCCTCCCACGATGGTGCCTTCCCCCAATACATGAAGCTCCATGTGCTTGTTCTCGACTCAAGAACTGGGCGAACTTGTTTGCCCCCCCCCCCCGCTCCACACCACCCACACAGTTTCTCCAAAACTATGATAATGTATTTAAAACTCTTTGGAGAGAACAGGCAGCGCTCAGGGCAAGGTTTCCACCCTGGAAAACTGTCTGACCTCATTTCAAGTAGTTAATAGAGCTCCTGTCTGCAAGGAGGGCTGCTTCTGGCTTCACAAAGACAAACCTCTCGCCGGCAGCCTCCACAGAAGCAAGGGGTCCACGGACCAAATTTCCACAAGCAACCCCGCTCTGGCTGATCCGTGGGCGAAGAGAACCTCAGGAAAGCCATCCTGGTTGAGGCCAAAAGCTTCCATCTCATCACTGCTGGCCAAAAGCTATGCTAGCTGGGTGTGAAGAGAAGTGGCTGGCCAAACCACATCTGGGGAGCATCGTGTTGGCTACTTCCATTCCATCTTCCGGTCTTGAAAGACCTACATTGGCTCCCAGTACGTTTCCGAGCACAATTCAAAGTGTTGGTGCTGACCTTTAAAGCCCTAAACAGCCTCGGTCCAGTATACCTGAAGAAGCATCTCCACCCCCATCATTCTGCCCGGACACTGAGGTCCAGCGCCAAGGGCTTTCTGGTGGTTCCCTCATTGCGAGAAGTAAGGTTACAGGGAACCAGACAGAGGGCCTTCTCGGTAGTGGCGCCCGCCCTGTGGAACGCCCTCCCATCAGATGTGAAGGAAATAAGTGGCTATCCTATTTTTAAAAGACATCTGAAGGCAGCCCTGTTCAGGGAAGTTTTTAATATTTAACACTGTATTGTTTTTAATACTTGATTGGGAGCCACCCAGGGTGGCTGGGGAAACTCAGCCAGATGGGCGGGGTATAAATAATAAATTATTATTATTATTATTATTATTATTATTATTATTATTATTATTAACTAGCCCATCATCCTATTCCCCCCCCCCCGCGATGGCCCAAGGAGAAACCCAGAAGGAGTGCGCAGAAGCAGCAGCCCTCTCCCACTCCTTTAGTGCAAGGCACCCAAGAGGCGCATTGCTCCATTACAGCCATAGTAACTTCTGCGTTGGGTGAAGAAGTCCTTTCTGACTGTCCCAAACCTCCTGCTCATCAGTGTTTTATTGGGTGTCCCTGCTGGGCCTCTCCCTTCGACTTTGTTAACTTCAGTTGTGTCCCACCTCGGATCTTAGTCACCTTCTTTCGAAACAAGGAAGCCTCAAACACCGTAGCCATTCCTTTCGGAAATAGGCCAGAATGTAAAACACGAGCCACACGCAAAGCTAAAGCTTAACCACGTATTGCCCACGCTTTTCTGAACCGTGATGAATTGTTCTTGACTGTAGTAAACAAACCAGGCTTCCCCAACCTTTAGGTCTCCACAGCTGAGGCTATTATATACTGGATGCGAAACCAGGGTTTGAACTGGATTTGCAAAGTGTGGTTTTTGTGGCTTAAGCATTTGGTGCTAGCCATGCTTTATTATTTTAGTGTTTGATGCTGTATTGTGTTTTTACTATTTTTTATTGGGTGGCATTTAAATTACTACTACTACTATTATTATTATTATTACTATTATTATTATTATTATTATTATTATTATTATTATTATTATAAGGTGTGACCGGAAACTTTGGTGAATGGTCACAGAAATCGGACAGTGAGAAATATTCAAACATAAAATCGGCATCAGAAACCCACGAAATGCTCACAATTGTGTACAGAGATGAAACTGTAACTTGAAAGACAGTGTATAAGTGGTTTAAGCGTTTCTGTGAAGGGCGGCAAACCATGGAAAGTGACCCTCAGTCTGGCAGACCGTCGACGGGCAGAACGGCGGCAAATGTCAACACAGTTTGTGAGTTATTGATGCGGGATCGGCGTTTGTCCGTCTGATGGCAGAAGAATTGCGTATTCCGCGTGAAATCATTAATGGGGTTACTGAGTTGTCCCACCCTCCATATTCTCCAGATCTGCCCCCCCCCAGATTTCTTTCTTCTTCCAAAACTGAAATCTGCACTGAAAGAGCACAGATTTTCCAACATTTCACACCTCCAAGCTGCTGTGACGAGGGAACTGAAAGCAGCACGAAAACAGGACTTCCCAGAAGTTCCCAACAGTTCTACGAACGTTGTCAACAGTGCATTGTATCAGAGGGGGCCTACTTTGAAGGCCTGTAAGGGATGCATGTTCGAATATTTATCGCTGTCCAATTTCTGTGACCATTCACTGAACTTTCCAGTCACACCTTGTATTATTATTATTGATCTAGCCAGGGTTTATGAGTTTGGTGCCGGCCATGGTTTACGTGTCTGGTGCTAGCCATGATTCATGTGTTTGGTGCTAGCCACAGTTTACGTGTTTTATCCGGACTTAAACTACTGAGGACACCTCCACAACAAAACTAAAAGACTGGCGGTGGACACACAGGAAGCCAAGGACCAGAGAAAGCCTAAGGGTAACTCACCAGCTTCTGGAAAAGGTGGCCAAGCACGACACTGCTGTCCCAGTTCTGGACCTGGGGCCAAAGGCTGTCGTAGAACTCCTTGTGGATCTCGTAAATGTCCTGGATCTTGTAGAAGATGGTCTCGATCTGCTGGATCGTGAGGACAGGCTGGGAGGTGGTGGCTGTTGCTTTTAGGGGCTTCATGGGCTGGAGTGAGCGGGACACAGAGGAAGAGGAAGCATCAGAGAAAGAAAGTTAAACACTGGGACCCTCCCACATTCTTGTGAACCAGCCTTGCAAAGAAAACAAGTCATGGTGCTTCGAACCTACGCTCTGCCTCCATGTTCAGAGGCAGTACCGTATTTTTCGCTCTAGAGGATGCACTTTTCCCCCTCCAAAAATGAAGGGGAAATGTTTGTGCGTCCTATGGAGTGAATGCAGGCTTTCGCTGAAGCCTGGAGAGTGAGAGGGGTCGGTGCGCACCAACTTCCTCTCGCTCTCCAGGCTTCAGGAAGCTATCCGCAAGCCTTCGGAGCGCAGCGGGAGTTCCTGCCTGGCTCCGAAGGCTTGCGGATTGCAGCCTGCAGCCCGAGGCCCAGGGAGCGCAGCGCTGCGCACCCCGGGCTTCGGGCAGCTATCCGCAATATAAAAAAAAAATTCTTTATTTCCCCCCCAAAAAACTAGGTGCGCCCTATGGTCCAGTGCGCCCTATAGAGCGAAAAATACGGTAAGTCTTCCGAACACCACATGTAGCACTAAACCGTGGCTTGCTTACACCATGGTTTGTTTAACAAACCATGAGTTAACCATGAGCGGTCCCACAGACGATAAAAAAAACCACGCACCATCTGTACGCTACCTTGAGCTCTCTGGAGGAAAAGGTGGGGTACGAATGTGATTAATTTAAAAAAGTAAAAATAAATAAATATATATGATCAGACTTTCCTGAACACCTCCGCAGGCGTTTTAAAAAACAAACCTGCTCCCCACAGAGCACAGCGGCAATTTGAAATGTCAAGAGAAGTACTTCGCGAGCTTCCCCATTGCGCCAGAATATGGAAGGGGAAGCTCCTCGTGGGCCCACGCGGGTGTTGCGCAAGGCAGAGCTGCTGTGACTCGGCCGCCGGGCTCTCAGGAGGAAGCTGGAAGCTATAAATAGGCCTCAGAGGGACACTTTCGAGATGAGGCCACCAAAAGGAGGCTGCGGAAGACGTGGCCGCTGTCTCGGGACGTCTGCTCCAGCCAGAAACATGCGGAACTCACAGCTGCATGATGCGGCCATCTTGGAGCGGGCTCTTTCCTTTTCAAGTAGGGAAGGGAAACTTTGGGCTTCCAATTATTGCTGGCCTACAACCTCCATCCATCCCCTTGAGCGATGACCACCCTGCCTGAAAGGGCTAAAGGGAGGGGAGAGGGCTGCAGCGGCGCTCAGGACGTGCTGGTTTGTTGGTTAACTATAACACAGCTATTGAGGACCACCTATTCCCATAAGAACTGGCCTGGACTCTGTGATTGTCACCTGAAGCCCTTCTCTACGTCCATCCTTGAGAGGTACGGAGGGTGGCAACACAAGAACGGGGCCTTTTCTGTGGTGGCTCCCCAACTGCACAATGCTCTCCCCAGAGAGGCTCACCTGGCACCATCATTACATGTCTTTACGCACCAGGGGGAAAACATTCCTCTTTACCTAGGCTGTCAGCAGCCAGCCTCTTTTGGTGTTTTCCACTGGCCGGGAAGGATCTGTCCTCGTCTCCTCTCTGATTCCCAACCCCACTTCGCCCAACTAGCCAGGGGTGAGTTGGGTTGTTCCTCCCAGCTATTGGCCTCCTCTTCACCAGCAGTCCAGCGCCGAGGGCCTTCTGGTGGTTCCCTCACAGCGAGAAGCCAAGTTACAGGGAACCAGGCAGAGGGCCTTCTCGGTGGTGGCACCCGCCCTGTGGAACTCCCTCCCACCAGATGTCAAAGAGAACAACAACTACCAGACTTTTAGAAGACATCTGAAGGCAGCCCTGTTTGGGGAAGCTTTTAATGTTTGAGGCATTACTGTATTTTAATATTTTGTTGGAAGCCGCCCAGAGTGGCTGGGGAAACCCAGAGTGGCTGGGGCGTACTCACCAGTAATAGTGCTTCCAGCTGGTTGATGTACATCTCCTCACTGGCCAGGAAATCCTTTAGGACCAACCTCCGCATGTCCACCCCCTTCCCAGCATCTTGTCCACCCTAGAAGAAATAAGATGCCACATGTTAAAAGGCGAGCGGAACCAAGACTCAGCTCCAAAGATGATGGTGATGATTGCAAGTGTCTCTGAGCATGCGGAGACTGGTTTTTCTCACACTCCCAAGTTGGAGAGTGCAATTGTTGTTTTTTTTAAATTATATTCCCTTGCAACTCCACAACCCCCCCTGCCAGGTAGGCTGGTCTTAAAGGCAGCAACCTGGCTCTGGTTGCCCAGTTGTGTGACCAAGGCAGGATTTGAACACAGGACACCAAGGACCAAAGCAACAACACACAAAGTCCAGTGGCTCAGTGACAGAGCACCTGCCTTGCATGCAGAACGTTCCAAGTTCAATCCCCACTGGCAACTCCAGGTAGAAGGAAAGACGCCCACCCACCCATCTGAAACCTTAGAGAGCTGCTGCCAGTTAGTGTGGCCAGTACTGAGCTGGACAGACCAATGTTCTGACTAAGTGCAAGGTGGCTTCCTAAGTTCCCAGCACCCTGGCTAAGATGGGGAATGTTGCATTTACCCGGGGGCTAAGATTTGCATTTCATGGGTCTAAATTGAGGATGGGGGGGGGATTGTGGTCCTCCAGACATTGATATACACCAACTCCCAGCAACCACCATAGCCAAAGACCAGGGGATGATGGGAGTTGTAGTCCGGCAATGTCTGGGGGACCACAGATGTTGCCATATCTTGTAGAGCAAAAAAAGAAGACAACCCAGAGGGTTGATCGCCAAGGGCCCCAATTCACACAGGCCCCCATGGATGAATGACAAGATACTATTTTAAAAAGGAAATGAAATTTGCCTCTCACAGAGACGTTTCCTCAAGACAACGTAAACCTGAATCCCCCCTGAATGACTGAATTGCACATTTACCTTGCGGTCCACGACACGATCTGGGAAATGCTGTTTATTTATTTATTAGAGTTTTAAAATCCAATAAGTCCAACACACACACACACACTAAATACACAGAGCTTGAAGCAGTTTATACCATGATTAAAAAAACAGCACCAGCCAAACAATTTATCCTGAAACAAATTAAATAACGATAATGGAAGACAACTGGACCAGGTTTTTAAAAACCACCTAAGTAGAATCAAGAAGATCAGTCAATTAACATCCCCTAACCCATGGGTAGGCAAAATAAGGCCCGGGGGCCGGATCCAGCCCAATCGCCTTCTAAATCTGGCCTGCGGACGGTCTGGGAATCAGTGTGTTCAGTAGAATGGGTCCTTTTCTTTAAAATGCATCTCTGGGTTCTTTGTGGGGCATAGGAATTCATTCATATCCCCCCCCCAATATATAGTCCGCCGTCTGCCCCCAAGGTCTGAGGGACAGTGGACCAACCCCCTGCTGAAAAAGTTTGCTGACCCCTGCCCTAACCTGTGACAGGAATGCCAGGTGAATGGTGGCAATCAGAGGTACAAATTTGGTACTCAGTGGTTTTCAACCAGGGGCCCCTGGACCCTGGGGTGCCGTGAATGACGGCTATGGGTGCCGAAGGCAACACTGGCCTCTGTCCCTCTTCCCTTCCCTCCCTCCTCAAATGCCCCCTCATGTCTCTGCCTCCCAAAGGCTTGCACAGCGAATGGTGTCTCTGGGGCTGGCCAGGAGCTGAGGCAGCCTGAGAGTAAGCAAGCAAGCAGACGAGGGAGCCCAGCTAGCCAGTCCACCAGCCCTTGCTGCTGGGAACGGACAGACAAGTCCCAGGCCCCTGTGGAGCAGTGTGAAGGGGCACCTCTCTTTGGGGCAGCTCAAAGACCAGGGGCAGCGGCGGCGGCTGCCCGGAGGACTCCCAAGGAGGGGAGAGAGGAGGCTGGAGGATCACTCTCCCAGGGATGGTGTTCGGAAAGGGGTTGGAGGTGGCCGGCTTGGCAGGCAAAGGGTGACGTATCTGGGCTCCTGTGCATCGCAGGGGTGCTGCAGAACAATATAATAATAATAATAATAATAATAATAATAATAATAAATAATAAAATAATTATTTATACCCCTCCCTCGCTGGCCAGAGCCGGGCTCAGGGCAGCTAACACCAATAAAATCACAGTAAAAACATAATAGGGGGGGGGGAACGACCCAATTTAAAATACAGGTTAAAATGCAATTTAAAATGCAGCCTCATTTTAAAGTACCCGATAGATCAAGACCATGGAGGGAGGGAAAACATAAGCGTCAGACCGAGTCCAAACCAAAGGCCAGGCGGAACAGCTCTGTCTTGCAGGCCCTGCGGAAAGATGTCAAGTCCCGCAGGGCCCTAGTCTCTTGTGACAGAGCATTCCACCATGTTGGAGCCAGTACTGAAAAGGCCCTGGCCCTAGTTGAGACCAATCTAACCACCTTGCGACTTGGGACCTCCAAAGGTGTTGTCATTTGTGGACCTTAAGGTCCTCCGCGGTGCATACCAGGAGAGGCGGTCCCGTAGGTATATAGTTGGTCAAGGGTGCTGTGGACTCAAAGAGGTTGAAAACCTCTGCATTATTCCATTACCTAGCGGGTTTTTCTTCTAAAGATTTCAAAGATGTTTTCCGCAATCATTCTCCCATAAGAGCATGTCAGTGTGGTCACCCCCCCAATTTGGTAAGGGGCTGTTTTAAGGCCACCCAAGGGAGCCTGTGGCAGAGGTGAAATTTGAAATGGGGACCCTCTTGGCTCTACCTCTCCAGGACACAGGGGCGGAGGAAGGGGTGTGCAGTGGGGGCAGACACCCCGGGTGTCTTCGCTGAGGGGGTGACATTTGGCGCGCCGCCCACCCGCGACTCCCAAGTCTACCCCGACTTTGCCCCCAAAGGCTATTGAGACTAACCAATATACTGCTTGAGTGCATATGGAGACTCTAAACCAGAGATTCCTAGAATTGTGGCTTGCACAATCCAAATAATATGATAAAATTCACAACGGTAAACATTAATGGCACATTTCTGCAGATTCCAAATAACTACTTAGTTTAATTTATTCGTTGAAATTGATGGCCTTGGTTCAGTTATAGTCCTTCTTTTACACCTCCGGAGCTGCCTGCCCCACAATAACTCCACTGCCCCCTAAGGGGTGGTAATGTCCACTTTGGGGGATCATTGACCTAACCAGCCAAAACATTCTCTATTTTCACAGTCTTTTAAAATATCCTTTTTAAAAAGCAGGATGCCTCTGAATACCACTCACTGGAAGTCAGAGGCAAGGAGAGTCGCTGCTGCCATATTCGGGTCTCGCTGGGGGGGCTTCCCTTTGCGGCATCAGTGCAGATGCAGGAGGCTGGACCGCCTGGGACCCCCTTCTGGCCTGATCCAGCGGCCGGGTTTCTCTGACACTCTCAGGTTAAAATGCCGGTGGCAGAACAGCTCATTTCAAATGCCTCCTTGCAGAGACGCTCGTTTTGGTTCGCTTTGCATTAATTGCGGTTCATTTGCACTGTAAACCCTCCAGCTGACGTATTACTACAGAGGCTGCTTTCACGAATCCACCAAACAAGCGGTTATCGCTGGGTGGTGTTGCTTGGGAAAACAAAGCAGTTACAGATGAGGGCAAGTCATAGGAGAGCCGGAAGTGGCCCTATGGGGAGTCAAAAGCCAGTGCTCCACCTAGGCTCAGGGTTGTCGGCACTGACCGGCAGCAGCTCTCCAGGGGGCATTCAGGCGGGGGACATTCCCAGGCCTACCTGGAGAAGCTGGGGACTGAACCCAGGGTCTTCTGCTTGCAAGGCAGGTGCTTTGCCACTAGCTGCAGCTCTGCCCCTAAAAATGAAACAAGACTCCGGTCCTCATGGTTCTGAATCAACAGCTGATTTAAACAGGGGAAGCCTCCACATCGGACCGTGAGACCATCTGCCACAGTGCTGTCTACACCAGGGATCAGCAAACTTTTTCGGCAGGGGGCCAGTCCACTGTCCCTCAGACCTTGTAGGGGGCCGGACTATATTTTGGGGGGGGAATTCCTATGCCTCACAAATAACCCAGAGATGCATTTTAAATAAAAGGACACATTCTACTCATGTAAAAACACGCTGATTCCCAGACCATCCGTGGTCCGGATTTAGAAGGCGATTGGGCCGGATCCGGCCTCCAGGCCTTAGTTTGCCTGCCCATGGTCTACACCAGCAGTTCTCAACCTGTGGGTCCCCAGATGTTGTTGGACTACAACTCCCATCATCCCTGAGCTCTGGCCTTGCAAGCTAGGGATGATGGGCGTTGTAGTCCAACAACATCTGGGGACCCACAGGTTGAGAACTGCTGGTCTACACTGACCGGCAGAGGCTCTTCAATGTTCCAGGCTGGCGACATGCCCAGTGGGTCTACCTCGCAAGGTTGTTGGGATATGTAATGGGAACGGGGGCAGAGGAATCAACCCCACTAGTTCCCCCTGAGTTCCTTGGAAGAAGGGAAGGATATAAATGCGAAAGAGCCTGACAAACAAACCACCTTTTTTTCTTGTTGCTTTCCAGCAGTTGGAGAGCTTTGTTGTCACTTGTCTACATTCGGAGGGAAAACCACTTAAGATCTCGCCGTCCTCAGGCGGCTCCAACGTGGGGCCTGCTGGGGCTCGATTCCCTCTCTCTCTCCCGCCCCCTTCCAACCTCCCACTCACTCAGTGCCGCGGGCACCCCACAGATCTAAACCCTTTCCCCCAGCCAATAGCACAACGCAAAGAGCCTGAACGCCCCATGGGCTGCCAGCCTGGGCCTGGCAGGGCTGGACTCACACATCACAAATACAGAGGAGAGGAAAGCGCACACACAAGTCAAAAGAGCTTTCAGCTGCTGTACACAAAAAGGGCACATTCCCAGCCCAGGAAAGAATAAATAAAAAGAAAAACCCTTCCACTCCACTCCCAGGACTTAATTTGTGTGCCTGGCACCAAAACTTCCTGTAAGCTGAGCTTGCCAGCTCCAAAAGGGGAGCTGGAGGAGAGGCCTGCAATTACTCAGCAACGAAGCAGCAGCAAAAAGAAAGGCCCTCTGCCCATGCTCAGAGGCAAACCATCGTTGCCGCAACACTCC